TTGTTTCCAAATCGATTCAGCCTTGCTATCAGTGAAAACCCCTACAAACATAAATGCTATGTATGTATGTCCGAATAATTGGAGATATCTTTAGTTTTGTTTTGGTCTCCTCTCAGAGTGTGAATCAAGTGTTTTTATTATATGTACAAATTTAAGGCTTTGGAAGTAATAAATTCGCCATTTATCACACCTGTCCTTGGTTGTCCGTATGTTCACAGATTGTATGTGCTGTTTAGAGTTTATCATTATGAATCTTTAGTAATACTGCCCCCCCCCCCTTTTTTTTCTGAGATCTATAACTTGTATGTTATTTGTTTTTTCTTTCCTTTCTCAGAATATTTTAGCTACTGTAAACTATATATTATATATAGCTATATATATATATATATATATATATATATATATATATATATATATATATATATATATATATATATATATATATATATATATATATATATATATGATTATTTTGTCATTACCGCCATTACCTCGCTGAATACTGCTACAAGATATGCTACTAGTAGTATATCCTTTAGAATCTGTGACTTGCCTTGCTACTGTTTCAGTATTTCCTCTACAGCCTGTGAAGTGCTCTACTACAGTTCACTAGAATATGTGAAGTGCCCTGGTACTGTTTCAGTATTTCCTTTAGAAACTATGAAGTGCCCTGGTACTTTTTCAGTGTTAAATCTAAAATCCATGGTTTGCCCTGGTGCTGTTTCAGTCCTACCTCTAAAGTCCGTGATTTGCCCTGGTACTGTTTCAGTATTTCCTCTAAAATCTGTGATTTGCCCTGGTACTGTTTCAGTTCAACCTCTAAAATCTGTGATTTGTCCTGGTACTGTTTCAGTTCTACCTCTAAAATCTGTGATTTGTCCTGGTAATGTTTCAGTCCTACCTCTAAAATCTGTGATTTGCCCTGGTACTGTTTGTCTTACCTCTAAAATCTGTGATTTGCCCTGGTACTGTTTCAGTTCTACCTCAAAAATCTGTGATTTGCCCTGGTACTGTTTCAGTCTTACCTCTAAAGTCCATGATATGCCCTGGTACTGTTTCAGTATTTCCTCTAAAGTCTGTGATTTGCCCTGGTACTGTTTCAGTCCTACCTCTAAAATCGGTGATTTGCCCTGGTACTGTTTCAGTCCTACCTCTAAAATCTGTGATTTGCCCTGGTACTGTTTGTCTTACCTCTAAAATCTGTGATTTGCCCTGGTACTGTTTCAGTTCTACCTCTAAAATCTGTGATTTGCCCTGGTACTGTTTCAGCCTTACCTCTAAAGTCCATGATATGCCCTGGTAGTTTCAGTATTTCCTCTAAAATCTGTGATTTGCCCTGGTAGTTTCAGTCCTACCTCTAAGATCTGTGATTTGCCCTGGTACTGTTTCAGTCCTACCTCTAAAATCTGTGATTTGCCCTGCAGCTGTTTAATATTCCTCTAGAATCCTCAAATTATCCTGTAACTGTTTCATCTTTCCCCTACTATTTGTGAAGTTCTCTACTACTGATGAAGTACTTCATGTACTTAAATTTGTGCCACCTCCACAACACAGGTTGGCTGCAGCAGATATGTTTAGGAATATCTACTTCTTCTTTGTGTTCACGTGCTGTAAACTCTGGCAAAAAGTTCTGGTTGTTTGTCCCCTTCTGGACTTTAGTCTTGTTTCAGAACCTGAGTGTTGCATGCACATCCGTTAAATAGATATGACTACTCAAATGTATGCAGATTGTTGGTTACTTGCCTGTCAGGCAGATGCACAACTTTAAAGGAAGTCCCCAATTAGTCGACTCTTATGACATGCTTGTTAGGCAGACAGTGGGTCTGTTCTTGTTTTCCCCACCATGGGGCCGTGGAACCCACATAGGGATTTAGGAATATTAATGGTAAGACTCTAGTCTTTCCCATGGTAAGGCTTGTTCACCACTGTCTGAAAGCCAACCATCGGAACTGGAACTCTTGGCCTGCTGCTGAAGATGGGGACGGCACACTTATGAGAGTGTCCCCAAGTGCTATGATGTCAATTTTTAATACAACATTTGACAGCATTCAACATTCTGAAAGCCATTCAATTCTTTTTTTTTATAAACAACCTGAACACATAAATGGAACTTCGGTACACCAGGATTGTGTAATGCATGCAGTAATCTCTGATGCACAGAAGGCACGTATTCTACTAGCTTCCATGAAGTTCCCTGCTACTTTTTACGTATTTCTAGGTCATGGCAGTGTGAGGTGTATGAAGCTGTGTCACTTCCTCATCTCCTTTTCCTCAGAGACATTTCCTGCTATCTATTGTATGATGCTGAGTCCATCTCAGTGCCATTTTGTTCAGATAGTTTTGCACTGTTGAGAAACAAACTATAGAGCACAGTGACAGAAAGACGATTCACCAACCACTCGTTTCCACAACATTACAATATGATTTACATGCTTTCTGGTTATTATATATAGTATCCAGAAAAAACTATGCCAATATGATGCTGTGGTATGCTACATGAAGTGTGTGACGCTCGTCACGGATCGGAAGGTCGTGGGTTCGCACCATGGCGGAGCCGGACTTTTTTCAAAAATGACCTTGGCTCCCATGTTGACCCAGCCTTGAGTGGGTACCGGGTGCCCACGGGAAAGTAAAGGTGGCCGGCATGATGCTGACCACATCACCCATCTTGTGCTGATTGGTCTATAAAAATATAGGTCTAGCCCTATACGCCTGATGGTGTGGAAAAGGGTCATTTACTTTACTCTTACAACTAAAATATCAAGTTTCTATTTGTACAGTAGTTATGGGTTAATGGTCATTACCTTTGTGTAGAAATCAGAAAAAGTGAGTCCAGAAGCAATTTTAAATCAGTACAGCATTTTGTGTGTGGTAATGTGTCACTTTTCAAAATAGAAACTATGTTGTGAGTAATAGCCGCTGCATGTTGAGTACCGGCACCTTATTTTTTTTAGATACTCTGTAGTGAGTGTCAGCACTTTTTTTTTAACCCCTGCTAATTGGTAAGTAAAGCAAAGGACCCTTTTCCACGCCTTCAGGCATAATGGGCATATAGGGCTAGACCTATAGTTTATAGACTTGGTGGTTGATGTAGTCAAAATCACATGGGCCACATTTACTTCCTAGGATTGCACCTGGTACCCACTAAAGGCTGGGTTGACCTGGGAGCCAAGGTCATTTTTTTAAGAAAGCCCGGTTCCGTCAGGACCTGAACCCACGACCTTCCGATCTGCAGGCGAGCATCTAGCCGCTACACCACGGCGACTCCTGCTAATTGGTTTTGTAATTTTATCATAAGTTAAAGATCTGTTTGTCAACTAATGTTAACAACAATAGATCACGTTGTTTACAAACCACTTGAAACATTTCAACATAAACAATACACAACTTTAGATTAACGTTTAATGACCGAAACATGACAGCATAAATAACACTGTGGCTTGGAAGGCAATGAAATAGCAGACAGATTGCCCAGAAGCGGCAGTGTTATAGTGCGATCAAATAACGACTTAACCCACCAAGAGACTAAGACATGATAAACACACAAAATTATCTACTCAAGACTTGCTTCATCGCCTGTCTAGAGAGTGACATGTATTATATTTGGACAGAGGACATCAGACTTCATCAACATATGTTCAAACTTTTCGGTGTAGCAAACATGGAGGCGTGTTCCTGCAGCGTGGCACCTGAAAATACTCAACATATGCTTCAACACTGCTGTATGATGACAGCAGAGATGCAATCTGGCCAGTTCCAACTACAGTGAAGACAAAGCTGTATGGTACACAATGAGATATGGACTGCACAATAGCTTTCATAAAGGCTACTGGCCTCCTGATATAAGTTTTCTGACAGGAGAATCAAAGAAGAAGAAGAAGACAGCATAACACCGTAGCTTGTGTACAAGCACGCACACACATACAGAGGTGATGCTTCTCCAGGATTATATCACCATTATATTTTTTAAGCACAATATCTGACCACACATGCAGGCATACAGTCTACCACCCCCACCCCCCTCTCCCCCCACCACATATTAGTTAACATATAATTTACCCTTATGATTGATACTGCATGTTTTATACATTAGAAGAAAAATGACTAGATGTAGTCAATGTTGAATGATAGCAAACAATACTGTAGAATCACTACCCCATGACAAGCATCTCATAAAATGAGGCTGATTAAGGATTATGCCGAATGCTGGGCCGAAAGGCACTGTAGCGGTAAATCACAGCACAACATGCCAAATGCTCTCTTAAGGGCAAACACTGCAGAAGATACCAACAAGAGAGAATATCAGAGATGATCAGAAATCAAACACGGCAGGTGTAGTAACAACAGGGGATTTCATTAGACAATAACAAATGAAATGGTTCAGTCATTTAACATGGGTGCCAACAGACAGAATACCACAACAAGCAATGATGTACAGACCAAGTGGGAATGGAAAGAGACAGACCGTCCAAACCATGGATAGAAGTGACAGCAGGTCATTCACATACACAAAACACTCAGGTACTCCCACAGTTTACGCTTCACCTTGACCCCATAAAGACACAAAAGGGTGACATGCTTTTTCTTCTTAGTATTCACCGGCTGTAAACTCAGGTGCAAAGTTTTGGTTGTTCATCCACTTTTGAACTTTGGTCTTATTCCAAAATGTGAGTTTTTGCCTGTCCATATGTTTTACTGATCTGGCTAATTTGTATGCAGACAGTAGATTCTTTGCCTCACAAGCTTCCAAGGAAACATAACTAATTAGTCGCCTTTTATGACATGCTCAGGGATGGGGGGGGGGGGGGGGAGTGGGGGGGTGGGGTTGGGGGCAGTGGGTCTGTTCTTTCTCCTCAAAAATGGGGACCTAGAATCTACAAGAGGAATGAGAGTGAGATGAGAATCGGGCAAACATCTAGGAGAATCACGCATCAACAGTTTCATTTCGTATAAACATTGTATATGTGGGCTGGCAAATGTTACACTGTGGACACACTTGATCAGCAGCAGCCCTTGGGGCTTCCTCTTTGTGCACAGTACTCAAATGGATCTTTATCCTGTCAAGGAAATCAACGATACAAGAGATGTGGGGACATTTGTACCAGATAACTTTGTGACTAAACATACACTTCCCAGCAAGAGAATTAAGTAAACATCATTGTCATTAATGCATTCATTGTCCTGTTTAAAGTAAAGGACCCTTTTCCACACCTTTAGGCGTTAGGGCATATAGGGCTAGACCTATATTTATATAGACCAATCGGTACAAGATGGGTGATGTGGTCAGCATCACGCCGGCCACTTTTACTTCCCGGGACTGCACCCGGTACCCACTCAAGGCTGGGTCGACCTGGGAGCCAAGGTCATTTTTGAAAATAGTCCGGCTCCGCCAGGGAGCGAACCCACGACCTTCTGATCCGCAGCGAGCGTCTAGCTACTCGGCCATGGCGACTCTCTATTGTCCTGTTGTGACATTATATGTCACACAGGGCTCACATTCTATTTCTCCATTCCGTTCTATCCTTGTGCAATCACTTTGCAATCACTCATGGAGGGAATCCAGTCCTTTCTCTCATCAACCTTCGCTTGAATGTTTTTCTTAGACTTCCTGGTTTCCTCAGTCCCTCTATTTCTCATTTCAGTGCCTGTCTGGCGATTCTTTGCTCTTCTCTTTTCAGAATGTGTCCAATATAGCACCATCTTCTCTGTCTTGTAACTGTTGATACCAGTGGTTGCTCAGACAAACATCATTGCTGCATGCTTACAAAAAATTAGTTATTTATCCCTTTCAGGATGTTGCAAACCACACCCTACATTTTTTGGCTGTTTGTGGGTTTACCAGGCATTTTCACATTCAGTAGTTTGCCACTGCTTTCAGAACTGTCTGCACCATTGTCAAAAGCAAAGTAAACCAGTCTGCTGCCAAATCACCTGCAGCTGAAATGAACTGGATATTTTGGAAGTATGAATTAATAGATGTTAGTATACAAGTATTTCTAAAAAAGTATCTATATCGCTGTATATATCTGTCTTGTAAAAGAATAAGTTAACGTGCATCAACAGACATGAAAACTTAGTATTAACTATCCATGCTGTGATCACCACCTCAGCAGTAATCCACTGTTTGAAACTTCACTGAGATTTAGATTTCAGATCAGCCCAGACTTAAACAGATAAGTGAAAATGTTCCAGGAAGTAAAAGTCACCAGCATAATACTGATCACAGTGGGGGTTTCTACGACCAGGTGGTTTGCTTGATGCACTGAAGATCACTTTTCCTTTCATGGACTTCATCATCTTGTCATTTGGCTAGTCATTCTGAAGTGAGAGAATGAGCCATGTGGAATCAAACATGGTGCAATGAAGTCAATTCTTACAACTCTGAACTTTGACCTCCTTAGACCTTTCAACTTTGACCACAGCACCCGATAAGGGGTCAGGATTGTTTTCCATTTCAGGCCATCCTTGTTATCTCATCTTGACTGCAACAATGCAGTCTTGGTACATAACCTCTTGTCTGAGTTGATAGTGGGATCTTGGTGTGGTCTCGTTTTATGGAATCTGATGCAAGCTGTTCAGAAAGAATGGTATAGGAAAAAAATGAGCAGCTGGCCCAGTAGTTACAGTGCTGGGCTTTCATGCCAGAGGCCTAGGTGTGAATCCTAGGTAAAATGAAAGAAGATGTTTGCTGTCAGGGAACGCAAATAAACATCCTAACCTCTGCAGTTCATGGCAAATGCACCAAGTATTGACTGTGAATCTGCAACCATGACCAGTCTGCAAAAACAACCAGTTAAAATGGATGTGGCCAGACAAGAGCACTATGCAGGAAGCAAGCCAGCCAGCCAGCCCCACACACACAAATTACCAACCAACACAGAATTGATGTCGTCAGCCGCTACATGCTGTGGGATTTACAAAGGAGGGGATCCGAGTACTTAGGGACTGAATGATTCAAATGTGCAGTGAGGATAAACTGTCGACTAACTGCACTAGCCATACAGCCTTATATCCTCAGGCTCAAGACCCCACTGTCCTACTCTGCCCTTAGTCTTAGTTGAAGTTTCAACTTCCGTGGAATTGGGTCACCCCATATTTGCTTCCATCCCGTGCCAGTGAAAATTAAATTGAAATGTTCCTTACTGTCCCATTTGAAAAACTGATGAACAAACAAATGTCCTGACATAATCCAGAAATATGCATATGGCAGTTGCTAGAGGTGCCAAAGCCAACAGTCACCACCAGAAATGCAGAAATACTCTCCCCTAAAATGTGGTAAACACAGGCAGTCAAGACAGAACTGAAAGGCATGGTTCCTTTAAATCTATCTGTCCCAGAATGGCATAGCTATTGCCTGAGTGACATAATGGCAGCAACACAATAACAGGTAAACTACTACTTTGGTCCCCACAAAACAAACGCTGGAAACTCACCAGCTTAGCACATTTGCAAGGACCTCTTTCTCCTGGTGAGATGGTAAAGTACTTCTTATATCTGGAGTTGGTTAGGATGCTTGCAAGCTCAGCTTTTACATGGCACTCTTCCCCTTTCTTGTGGTGAAATAAACAATCAATGTCAATTCTGACTGTAACAGCCTAAAGTCTTCTTCTTCTTCTTCACCAGCTTTAAACTCCCGCAGAGAGTTCTGGCTGTTCGTCCACTGCTGGACTATAATCTTGTTCCAGAACCTGAGTGTTGCGTGCACATTTGTTTTACAAATCTGACTTATTTGTATACAGTTTGTTGGTTTCTTGCCTATTAGGCAGATGCACTCTTGACTTCAAAGGAAGGCCCCAGTTAGTTGACTCTTGTGACATGTTTGTAGGAAGGCAGTGGTTCTATTCTTGTTTTCCCCATAATGGTTTCCCAGAACCCATACAGGAAGTATCCTAAAGTAAAGGACCATTTTTATGCCAGTTTCACATCGGGCATATGATACTAGCCTTACATTTGTATAGACCAATAGACCCTCGATGATGCAGTCAGCACCACTCTGGCCACCTTCACTTCCCAGGACTTTATCAGATACCCAGTTTAAGTTAAGCTAGGTCAACTTGGGAACCAATATCTTTCTGAAAAGAAAAAAAATCAGGTAATATACTAAAGTTAAAAATATTTTCCCAACAAATGTCTTGAGTTCAAATCTGCATCAAAACTGACATTGGCTTTCTGGTCGACTCAGGCTGAAATTAGTACTAGGTAATGTCCTGGGAAGCAAAGGTTGCCAGATTGATGATGACTATTTCACACATCAAGGGCTGGTAGGTCTATAAAACTATGTCAAATATCATTTGCCCAATGTGCCACTGGCATAAAAAAAAAGGCCTTGTTTATTACTAGTATTTTATTTAAAATTATTCTATGAAATGGCTTGAGCTTTGAGCAATCAGAAACTGCCAGCAAAATCTGTGTCTGAAACTAGCAAGAGACAGTGGAAACAAGATGTATTGAGTGTGGGTGGTACTGAGTTGAATTAAGAACTGAACATCCCTTAAGCACGCCATCCCCATCTTCAGCAGCCAACAAAGAGATCCAATGCTGGTGGTCCCAGCAGCAGTTTGACTATATGTCCATCTTGCCTTTCCTCTGAGTGTAGAGTGTGGGCCAGATCCCTGGTAACTCATTGCTGCACCACTCTGTCCAGACTGTAATGATCTATTCAGGTTTCTGCATTGTTCACTTGCTCCCAAAGGGCACTGATCGCACTTAGCTTGTCATGCATCAATTCACCAGTCAGTGATGCAGCATCAGCTAATGTATCTGCTTGATCATTACCCAACACACCTGCATTATTCAGAGAAAAGATCCAAATAACACTAGCTATCCAATAACTCTAAAGCAATGCTTGCCACTCTGCATAAAGTATGCCTCTCTCCACCTTTCTTAGCATGCTTTGTGAATCAGTTACAACCATAAAGTATGCCTCTCTCCACCTTTCTTAGCATGCACTGTGAATCAGTTACAACCATAAAGTATGCCTCTCTCCACCTTTCTTAGCATGCTTTGTGAATCAGTTACAACCATAAAGTATGCCTCTCTCCACCTTTCTTAGCATGCACTGTGAATCAGTTACAACCATAAAGTATGCCTCTCTCCACCTTTCTTAGCATGCACTGTGAATCAGTTACAACCATAAAGTATGCCTCTCTCCACCTTTCTTAGCATGCACTGTGAATCAGTTACAACCATAAAGTATGCCTCTCTCCACCTTTCTTAGCATGCACTGTGAATCAGTTACAACCATAAAGTATGCCTTTCTCCACCTTTCTTAGCATGCACTGTGAATCAGTTACAACTATAAAGTGTGCGCAAATGGTTCTCAAACCAGCAGAAAGTTGTTGTGACTGCCTCTACCCCCAACAAAAACTAACAGATGTCTATAATACCTACTGTGTCATTAGAAAGGAAAAGAAGAAAGAAAAGCTTTCTTCTTTTGCTTTCTTCTTTCTCTTTCTCATTTATCCTCTTCCTGGTTCTTCATTTCAACTCCCAGTTCAGAATAAGCCATTAACTAAGCCCTCCTATTCTTTGTTATCTCTGCAGCTCTTTACATGCCCTTCCCATATCATTCATTGCTTTCTTTTGCCATTTGTGACACTTTGAGTTCCAGAAAAATGACTTTCTAGTATTACTATTTTTGCAATGTGTGCCTTACCATTCTCTTCCCTCTTGTTTCACTGAAATCTGTCTGGTTCTTTCCGTCAGCTCCACTCTGGTGATTCTATCATATAATTTCAGTTTTTCTTATCTTTCCCATAAACAACAGTATAATTTCTTGTGAACTGGAATATCTTTATCATATTAAAGCAGCACAACGATGGATTCAGGATGTTAAGGTAACAATGGAAATGAAAATTTGCATTCTGAGAAAGTTGGCAGGGACTTTCTGAGTGGATTTCCACACAGGACCTGCTAAACAATGATGATGATTCTGCGCAGACATCAGTAACTTCTTGTTTATACCTTTCCATCTTTCCAGACGATCATGTTCCACTGTATTATAGGGAATACAGAAATCACAGCTCATCATTACCATTAGGGCCAGGGAGGAACTTTCTCCTCTTTATTGCACTGACAGCTTTGTAGAGACCATATGTTGCCCATTCAACATGATTCTGCTCTTTCTAGATACTTTGTTAACTCTAAAAGAAAAATAACACCAATATTTTTGAAAGAAAGTATGCTGCAAAAGCTGTCAAATCAGAACAGAATTACTCTGCTGGCCACCTGACGGGGCTTCCCTCCAAGACCAGCTGCCAATTAAAGCTAAGGGCCTGGTCTGCCCTGCCATAAAATTTGTTCAGGTGCTTTTCGTCTTCCTAGGATAAGGCTAGTATCCTCCTCAATGCCCTTTTCTGACAACTTTTGCCTGATAAGCATCAATGATTAAATGTGTGCATACCTTAAATGTGATCCCATGATCAAACTGAAACTCCTCTTCAAAACTGTCAATCCCCCCATTGTAAACGACAGTTGATGGTACTCCTGATCCTGGTGGCAATTTGAAGAGACGATAAGTGACCGACACAAACTTTGCATCACCTGTGGGGCATTGAAGAGATTTAAAGGCGAATCATTCTTAAAGAATACCATCTGTAAAATTGCATGGTTTCATATGCTGGAAACTGTGACCAACATAAACTTCACATCCCCTGTGAGACAGCTGAGGAATAATAAAGGCAGAACATTTTTGCAGAAAAAAAATTGTTAAATGCCATGGACAAAGTAGAGAAGAAATACTGCAATTTTTAAAGATCTGAACATCAAGGAAGATTGACTAATAAACAGCATCTTGGTCTGTTATATGCTCTACATATAGTTTTTTTTTTTTTTTAATGTAGAGTTAATCGCATGGTAGAGGCTGCAGCTAAAGTTAAAAAGAATCAACTTCACTGCACCAGGTTTAATTTTTTTTAATTTCATAAGGCTTAGTCTCTATTCCCAGAACAGCTAGCTATAGAACCTGAGCATCTTACAAAGCATCAACTCCACAGCTCCAGCAAGGATCTCGAGGGATCTCTGGAGGAAAAAATGCATTCAAAAGAACCCATGATCTTCAGAGCATGGGGCAAACAGCTTGACCACTTCACTTGTGAGGTGATGGTCTACATATATAGAAAGTTATGACATTGTGGAGTAGGTGACTGCTCCTCATTAACTTTTCATCGCAAACAAGTCTCTGGTACCCATTTTTTCGAGGAACCGTCTAGAGTAGCAGGAATCACAGACCACACCAAGTATATATCCACTTATCCCCATGTTGGTGCCAGGTCTCCATTTTTAGCAGGACAATATGGAAATATAAAGGCAGTAAAAGAGATTGCACATAGTGCACAGGCATCTCCATTTTGAGTCATACAGGGAACATTCTAGAGAAAAGACTATGACCTGTAATCCAGCCCCTGTTAAGTGAAGAGCAACAAGGATTTCAGAAAAACATGGGATGCACAGGTGCCATCTTTGCTCCCAGACAACTTATAGAGAAATCAATTGAGTTGAACGAAATACTCTATTTAGCCTTTGTTGATCAAGCAAAAGAATTTGACAGAGTTTTTAGGAACAAACTATGCAGAATGTGAACACGCCTTTAATAAGCATATGTAAAAGCTTGTATAACAACAGTGAATGCACTGTTAGAACAAACGGAGGAACCATAAAATCTGAAGTACGGCAGGGCTGTGTCCTGTCTGTCCCCCTTCTCTTCATAACTTACACTGATAACATTAGTAAAGAAACTAACCAAACATGGACTTTAATATACCAAGATTATGAAAATACAAAGCCAGTTTCATCGAAGAACTATTATTTGCAGATGACTAAACACTAATTGCTACTTCAGAAACATAACTGCAAGACCAAATAAATTATTGAAACCAAATTTGCAAAAAAGCATAACAGGAAAATTAACCTGGTTTGGCCATAACACGGATATCAGCAGACAGTATAACCAACCACAGGCTAAACAAGCAAGTGATGGGCAGAGGGAATTACAGAGTCCCTGGGAATCCCAATTTACAAAGCCCACAAAAAGACTCTTTCCTATAAATTATACCTTCGCCTAGATATCACAAGGCACAAGAGCATCAAGATGAGATGATGAGAGAAGAGAAGATCCACTGCCCCATAACCAGTATGTCATAAAAGGCGACTAAATGGAGGTTTGCTAAAACTGGATGTATTTGGTCAAAAGACACAGATATTGCAGCTTAGCTGTAAACCACAAGACAACGCACTAACTGCCCTTTTAAAGGTAAAAACAGAAGAAGCAAAAGATTTCCAACTCATAAATGATATCTGCGATATCTTCACCTTTCAGTCCAACACATCAAATTTCTGCAAATCCTGAATTTAAAAAATTTTTTAAAAATCTGTAGCCTTCTAAAACATGCTTTGAACAGTAGGTCTATCTGTTTTCTTTCCCCCAGAATGAGGTGGTGGAAGCACCACTAGGAACTGAATAGAAAACCCAGCATTTCTGTGTTTGTAAGGAATGTTATTACAGATGAGATGTCATGGAAGAACTGCCATAGTAAACAGAAGAGATACAATTATAAATAAACAAATTAGAAAAAGACTGGGACTGAAATCAGTCTTACAACTCATTAAAAAGCAACAGCTGATATGGTCTGGCCATGTGACAAGAATGTAATGGTACCAAGTGTCACAGAGAAGCTTGCTGAATAAATATAATGAACGAAGAGCAAGGGAAAGATCATGCAAAAGATACAGTAACTGTATCAAGAACAGTCATAAAGAAATGAAGATTAAATTATACAAAGCATTAGAAAGAGCACACTGGATCCTTACATCTTCTCCCAACATAATGATGAGGTAATTGGAGAAAGATAAGAAGTAGAAGAAGCAGCAAGAATATTATTAGTTTGCATAAATATATTATTACACTAGACTCACCTAGGATATCTTTGTACTCCTTTTGATCCACTGAAAACAGGCTGGCTGTTACCAGACGGGGAACAGAGAAACCAATTTCTGCTGCCAGTTTGTACAGATGTTTCCAATGGAGGGCACCGACAACACATTCACCTGTCAATACAGCAACAAAGTTCATTAAAAGATATCAATATACAAGACAAAATTAACTCTGTGATAAGGACAGGAACGGAGTGTGGCAGAGCTGTATTAACCACACGAAAAAAATGAATTCGTGGGGCTATGTAATTATATATCACACAGACCTCACAGTCAACTTCATTCCTGTGTGGGTTCTGGGGCCTCAATGTGGGGAGAAACAAGAATAGACCCACTGCCTACTCAAAGGTATGCTGAATGTTGAATGAGGAATTAAGACTTGACATCACAGCACTCTGGATACTCCCATAAGCGAAGAGTTCCAATTCTGATGGCACTAGTAACTTTCTGATTGTATATCTGCCTTGCCTTTCCTATGAGTGTCAACCAGATCCCCTGATAACTTCTTGCAGCACCATTCTTCTCAGACCGTAATGATCTATTTGTGACTCCACACTGTTTACTCCCAAAAGGCCCTCATAACATCTAGCTTGTCATACATCATTTTACCAACAAGTGGTGCAGAAGCTGCCAGTCTATCTGCCTGCTCGTTTCTCAACACACTGGCGTTACCTGGAGAAAACATCCAAAGAACGCTATCTACCCAGGATCTTTGAAGCCTGTCTCTACCTTTCTCAGCATGCTCTATGAGTCACCAAAAGTATGTTGTAAGAGTCAACTAGTCTGGAGCTTAATTTTTTTTAAGTTGGAGTGCATTTGTCTGACCATATCACACATATCATTTCCAAAATAATAGACACAGTGAAGGAACTCTTTTCCTGCCAAAAGATATATTTGGTATATAGTGCTAGCCCTATAAATTAAGATGACTCAGCATTCATCCAAACATTGACGTCAATATTACACCAAAAATCGTCACAGTTAACTCTTTGAGTACAAGGCAACTCCCTAAGCATTTATTAGAGTTGGCTGGTATGCTATGAGAGCCAATGTAGCATAGTGGCTTAACACTCTCCTGCCAGCCCAATGGTTTTTGGTTCAAATCTGCATGGTTTAGTATTTTTTTTTTTTTTTAGAATTTACGTTGGCCTCTGTGGCGTCCGTGGCTTAGGCGTTGCGAGTCCGACTTGTAATTCCAACGTACTACGATCGAAACCCACTGCTGGCTGCATGGATTTTTATCACGGTATGGGGTGTCGCAGGTCGACCCAGCCTAAAATGAGTATCAGGATGGATGTCCTGGGAAAGAAAAGACAGCCAGTGTAATGCTTACCACATTACCCACCTAGTGCCGATGGTCTGTAAAAATATGGGTGCTCTTCCTATATGCTCGATGCCCCTAAGGCGTAAAATGGGATCTTTACTTTACTTTACTTTGGCTTCCAGTTTGACTCAGCCTAGTATGGGTCTCAGGACCAGGAAATAAGGAAGTAGAGGTGGTCAGCGTGATGTTCACCACATTACCCATTCAGTGCCCCTGGGTCTATAAAAATAGTCTAGAATTCATAATATGAGCCAGTGCCATATAAAGGGTAATTTACTTATTTGAGGGATGGGTGGGGGGAAGGGGTAGCTTATTGACATGCTAAGCTTTTCTGAGTCCCGTCTACCCTATCCTGCTAAATTTTAAACCCATTCTATCCAAATCACTCTTTCAGTTCCTTTCGTCTCATAGTGTGGTTGGTGGTTTTTTTTTTTTTTTTTAACTCCTTCAGACTAATCAGTTATTATTATATTATATATTGGAAGCAACAACTGTTTAGGAATGAGGTATAGAAAAAAATATGACTTGGACTAAAAGAGTTAAAAGATAATCAGTGTCCTCTTACACCATAGTTCCTGGTGTTCTCTTATGCTGGGTGGCAGGTCTCTGTCGGCGTACACATCACTGAAGTAGAGCTCTCCACCCACCTGAAATACAGATGTTTGGCAGGTAAACAGGGGAAATCGAACCCCAAGGACAAAAAACAGAAGTTTAATCAGATTTTTTAAACATTAACCCTTTTCCCCCGAGAAGCCACAAAACTGACACTTCCACTGATACCATTTCCCACTTAAAACTACTTTCCCGACTTGCTATAGTGGCATGGTTACAAGATGCCTAGTTAACAGAATTCACTGCATCTGTGCAAACATTCAGCATGACAGGGTTTAATAAGGTTTGAATAATGGATCAACATCATGACACAAGGGTAGTAACCCATAAGTGCTCCTTTCTAATTTTAACTCAAGCCTGAGACAAAGAATCTCAGCACAGTATATGAACTCTGTAGCATCGACGAGGATCCTGCAATACTTTGGGTAGATTTTTAACACCAAATTTTGCCCAGGTGGCGCCATTAATTATCGCTACAGAAAACACAATGAGATTTAAACGGACTGATAAAGAAATTAGCACTAAATGCAGTAAAGCAAACCAAGTATTGAGACAGCTAGCCCCCCTCTTACAGCATAAGACAATCCCAATCAGCACAAAGAGACATTTTATTCAAAACATATTTATTCCAACTCTGTGCTACCAGTGCCAGACATGGTCACTCACAACAAACCATAAAAGAAAATTAGTAACCATGGAAATGAGATGTCTGAGAAGGGCTGTAGGAGTGACCATAAGAGATAAGATCAGGAATGAGATCATAGAGAAAAAGTCGGCACAGAACCAATTCTAAATTACACACAAAGACAGCAAGTGAAATGGTTTGCCCACTTAGAGAGAATGCCTTGTGACACCATACCATACAAAGCATATATGGAAAGAGAAGATGGTCGTAGAGCAAGAGGTAGACCAAGAACAATATGGAAGGATAACATCAGAGAAGCTCTACAACAGCACGATGTGCCTATGGTTGAGGCGGCCAGAAGAGCCAGAAACAGAACATTATAACTCCCTCGACACCCACAGCGGTAAAAGAGGAAGTGAAGAAGAAGAAGAAGAAGGCGCCGTTAAGCTACTCTTTTCAATTTCCAACTGCCAAGGGATTTTTTACAATGCACTCAGGTGTCCATCTTACTACCCAGAGAAAAAGGTAAATTCTTAGAAGTCCATGTGAAAAACTCCAGCCTTCACTGGGACCTGAACCCGAAACCTCCAACACTCGAAGTGGTCACCATGCCTCAAGACCACGCAGAATCATTTCAACATTGAAAACTCTGCTTTCAAACATCAGAGCTTAAATTCTTGCAGTATAAATCAATCAATTAAAAAAAACTTCAAACTTAATATACTAAAATCAGCATTTTGGGGGATTTCCTTTTAAGAAAATGGCGTTATTTAAAGAACTTTCTGCATCATTTTCTTGCTATTTGCTAAAGTGGTTAGCGGGTGACCAGGTCACAGGGTTACGGGTCAAGTGTCATGCTTCAGTTAGTTTACAGGCCCCAAGAGATGTAAGCTATTTGCATTCATTTTTATAGATTACTCCTGTTACTCTCTATAGTATTTGTTCATTTTTTTTTTGGGATAATAAACTGATTTTTTACGATGTCTGTGTGACATATGTAAAATCTAAATATAATAATTTCAACATCTAAAAGACTGCTTTTAAACATCATAACTTAAATTCTCGCAGTGTAAATCAATATATTAATTAAATCAAACTTCAAACAAAATCAACAGATTTCAACAATCAAACCTTGAGAACTCTGTATGCTTCCTGTAGTACAGTGTGTTTGTCTTTGGACAGATTGATAACACAGTTTGATCTATAAAGGAAACACAAATATCTTTAAGAAGTGAATGCACAGTTAATGAATGAATAAATCAAGAACTGATGTCACTACACTTGGGACATTCCCAAACCTGCTCTGTCTCCTGCCTCAGTTGCCAATGAAACATCAACATTTCACAAACATTCACATGTATTCAGGAGCTGCATTAGCACAGACTCACTTTCAAATCCAGCTGTGACTCACTGCAGCCCAGTGTCTGAAACTGTGTGGTTCCTGGGGTTCACCCAGCCTCTAGGTAATGGGTACCAGAGTTAACTCTCTGGGGAAAATGGAGGAACGTCGCTGTAGCTACAGAGTTGCGTGCGGACGGTGACACAGGCAGACAGTTTCTTATCAGCTGTCCGTACTGGTGGCAGAGCATTTATGGTTTATAACTGTGTGCAATGACACTGGTTCACATCTCCCGACTTGACCTTTACTCACAGGTATTCATCTGCATTAATATCTGCACATTGTTGAGAGGTTTTAGACAACCTGCCAAAACAGCTCTCACTTGGACACCAGAAGGAAAGAGAAATAAGGGGTGCCCAAAAACAACACGGAGACGAACAATGGAAGGTGAACTGAGTTCTGCATCTCTGACATTGAAAAGTGCACTGAAGATTGCACAGGACAGGAAAGCATGGAAAGTCTTCTCTGAAGTCTCGTGTGCCACTAGGCATAAAGAGAATTGATTTGGATGATGAATATCTTCTCACAAATCTACAGTGAGGCAGATTCTTTAAAAAATTGAACTCGGCTTCCAGGTCCTGCCAGCTTACATTGGGTACCATGTAATCCTGAGAAGTAAAGGCGGCTGATGTGATTTAATCAGATAATCACAGGTAATCGCAGCTGCAACTTCACAGCAAATGAGTCACCACATAGTTCTCCGTTCCTATGCCAAAGAAAATCCTACAGAATGTCCATCACTGTCCTTTGTGAATAACAACTGACACGCAGACTTCAGTCTCAGCAAAGCCTCAATAGCATACACATGCATTAAATGCATAAGGCAGCCATTTAAAGTGCCAATACAAACATTTCGGCACTAGAATGAAGTTCATCATCAATGGAAGCAGCAGTTACAACAGACCAGTAGTTGCTCCAGAAGAGCTAGAAACAGAACCTTATATCTCCCTCGACACCCACAGCGGTAAAAGAGGAAGTGAAGAAGAAGAAGAAGAAGTAGTTGCACATACAGCTGAGATGTTGACCATATCACCCATCAAGTGTTGACGTCTATAAAAGTCTAGATCTATCCGCTTATGCCCAATGTGTCTAAGGTGTAAAGAAAGATCCTATACTTTTACTGTTTTATACACCTTACAATTTGCTATTGCAGTAAGTTTATTTTTCAAACAATTGGTAAAGGTAAATGTGATAGGATAGACCTCATTGCACCAGGTTTTATCCCATATAGCTCAGTCTCTTTCTGCAGAACAGCTAGCTGCCTGCCGACAGTGTTGCACAGAGTACGACCTACTTAGCTCCAGCGATGATCCCCGGGGATGTCCATAAAAATTGCACTCGTGAACTACACGGCGCCACCGTGAAATCAACCCATGACCTTCAGAGTGCGAGGCAAACGGCTTGACCACTTCATCAGGGAACTGAGATATCTTTTTAACTCTTTCAACCCCAGAAGATCATAGCTGCCAACCGATCAAAGCAACAATAATGACAACAAAAGCATAGATATACTTCTTCCACAGGGTCCACACATACAGCATGTTGTGGGTGGCTTGTATGTTTAGATTTCTTCCTGATTAAACTTTAAGAAGCAAAACATACTGAAAAAAGACCCTTTTTCACGCCTACAGGCGTATTGGCCATATAGGGCTAGACATATATTTTATAGACCAATTGGCACTCTGCGGGTGATGTGGTGTAATGAATGAATCAAGAATTGAAATCACCACACTGCTTATAGTCCATTTATTTTAATAAGTCAGTCAGCTTTCAAAGGGTGATGTGGACAATATCAATTAAGCTGCCATAATTTCCCAGAGCATTTTCTAGTATTTGTTTTAGGCTGTGCACCCACACTAATATCCCTGGCACTACACTGAATTCACTAAAGTGCTTATCCTTATTATGAGAAAAAGGCATCGGAACACTGAATGGCAAATGTCAATCCTGTAGTCGCATGAAAAGTAAAACATTAACTTTGACCTTTTGGAGCAGGAAATCATGTGTGCCTTTGACATCTTGTAAAGTTACAGATAACAACCCTGAAAATTGGCCACAACTGCAGACTTTAGTATAGTGCCAACAACATAATCATGTATAAATCTCACTTACACAATGATATCAAATGTGTCATTTTCAAGACCAGCCTCCTGTAGATTCTCCAAATAGCCCTTGACAAAGCTGATGTTAGGTGTGGCATAGTTGAACAGTTTAGTGTGGTAGTCTATGTATTTGTTAGCTACTGCCAACTAGAGAATAAAAATGTTAGCATTAGTATGTATGGTAATCTATGTGCTTGTTAGCTACTGCCAACTAGAGAATAAAAATGTTAGCATTAGTATGTATGGTAATCTATGTGCTTGTTAGCTACTGCCAACTAGAGAATAAAAATGTTAGCATTAGTATGTATGGTAATCTATGTGCTTGTTAGCTACTGCCAACTAGAAAATAAAAATGTTAGCATTAGTATGTATGGTAATCTATGTGCTTGTTAGCTACTGCCAACTAGAGAATAAAAATGTTAGCATTAGTATGTATGGTAATCTATGTGCTTGTTAGCTACTGCCAACTAGAGAATAAAAATGTTAGCATTAGTATGTATGGTAATCTATGTATTTGTTAGCTACTGCCAACTAGAGAATAAAAATGTTAGCATTAGTATGTATGGTAATCTATGTGCTTGTTAGCTACTGCCAACTAGAGAATAAAAATGTTAGCATTAGTATGTATGGTAATCTATGTATTTGTTAGCTACTGCCAACTAGAGAATAAAAATGTTAGCATTAGTATGTACGGTAGTCTATGTGCTTGTTAGTACTGAAAAAAGCTCCCATAAACGTCTTTTGCAAATAGATATTAACATTAACCATGTCTATCTATAATGCTTTTAAAACACTAACAACTATCATTTAACTCATTTAACTGAAGGCAGAAAGTATTCCTGCTGTGGCAGAAATAGTTAACTAAATTTTGAAACATGTTTTATTCTTCTTCTTCTTATTTTAGTCCATGGTGTGTGGAAATGGTAGTCATGTCTATCCACAGTCTTGTGTACTTTTCAATCAATTCTCATTGAAACGATCGCAGAAGAAGAAGAATCAAAATCAATTCTCATTGAAACAAACGCAAAAGAAGAAGAAGAAAAATCAATTCTCATTGAAACGAACGCAGAAGAAGAAGAAGAAAAATCAATTCTCATTGAAACGAACGCAGAAGAACAAGAAGAAAAATCAATTCTCATTGAAACGAACGCAGAGGAAGAAGAAGAAAAATCAATTCTCATTGAAACGAATGCAGAAGAAGAAGAAGAAAAATCAATTCTCATTGAAACGAATGCAGAAGAAGAAGAAAAAAAATCAATTCTGATATATATGATCTTTCATGCCCCGATATTAAATTGTCCAGCATCTTTACTCTCTTTTACCTCTGCCTATTTTCTCCTCCAACTTTCCCACCGTCAAGATGTACTCCAGTTTTCTCCTTCTCATGACAGGACCAAAGAATGTAGTTTGTCTCCTTCTAAATATATGTTAGAAAATTAGAAAACAGAAAACAAAAATATACTGTGTCATTATCATTACAGTCCCATAACATCGTGTGTCATCTGGTCACGAGTTACTGTTGACTACCTGACAACTTCCCTCTACCTCTGTCGATCAGTTGCAATGTATTTTATTTTTGTATATTGAGGCCTGTCCAGTCAGTTAATTTTGGTAAACAGGTCTTTCTTGGTCTGCCTCTTCTCCCCTGTTCAAAACCCAGTCGTGTGAAGAAGAAGATAAAAAGCACGTACCTGCTCATCTGTCATGTCAAGCCCGACTACATGACCTTCAGGTCCAACTAGCTTACTGAGAACATAACAATCTTGTCCACTGCCACTGCCAAGGTCTAGAACTGAAGTTCCTTCCAGTGCAGGAGGGAACACAGGGCCACATCCATAGTACCTGATTGTGATGCAATAAAAAGTTAGGTAACCTTTTTTTTTTCCCACACCAGTGGCATCAGCTACACAATCTTCTTCGCGTTCACCAGCTGTAAACTCTGGCAGAAAGTTCTGGTTGTTCGTCCACTTCTTGACTGCAGTCCTGCTCCAGAACCTGACTGTTGTGTGTGCATTTGTTTTATAATCTGACTCATTTGTATGCAGACTGTTGGCTCCTTGCCTCTCAGGCAGATGCTCCAACTTCAAAGGAAGCTCCCAAACAGTCGACATCTACGACATGCTAGACTCATACTTGTACAGACTTACAATCTGGCATTCGATGGGTGACATGGTCAACATCCTTCCGGCTACCTTTACTTTCCATAACATTTCATGTTACCTAATTTAGTCTGGGATTCACCTGTGAGCCAGTTTAATTTTATTTTTCCAAATCCACCTGATGCGGAACACAGGGCCGTCAGACCGGCAGGCAAGGATCTAGTCACTATCCTATCTCAACTTTCAGTGTGACAAACAAATTACAAACTTAAGGTTCCTTTTTACGCCAGTGGCATCAGCCATAGAATAATGTTAGATTTTTTTATAGACCGGTTATCCGGCATTTGATGGCTGATGCTATCAACAACTGGTTGCCACATTTACTCCCCATTACATTTCCTCTTAAATAATTTAGGCTGGGATGACCTGTGGTAAACCAGTCCAATTTAATTTTGCCTTCAGACCCTCTGGCGAGCATCTAGCCACTATGCTTTTTCGGCTCCTGAGTGTGATGCAGTATTAGAAAAAAAAATCCTGTTTCCCTCGCTAAGTCAAGCAAGTGACTGTGATATTCTTCTTCTTCTTCTTCTTCGTGTTCACTGGCTGTAAACTCGGTGGAAAGTTCTGGTTTTTTCATTCACTTCTGGACTTTGGTCCTGTTCCAAAACTTGAATTTTGCATGCACATTTATTTTAAAGATCTGGCTTATTTGTATGCAGAGAGTTGATTTCTCACCTCTAAGGCAAAGGCACTGTGACTTCAAAGGAAACACTTTAATTAGTCAGCATTTATGACATGCTTTCTAGGGAAGCTATGGGTCTATATCTTTGTTAACCTCACAATGGGCTCCAGAAGCCGTATGGGTTGTGATATAATACAGTATATTGAGTACCAATAGACATACCATATTTTTATTGGTTCTTCCTTGTATGTTTTCTGTGAACACAATCTGTAATCCTGAGATACCCTGTTTCATTCCAGCTGAAGGCAATTTGCCAGCTGACCGCTTTCTGTTGATTCTGATAATGGTATTCTCAGGCAGATGAACTCGGACTTTGACAAAAACACCCTAATTAGTCAACTTTTATGACATGTTTCTTAGAGAGGCAGTGGGTCTATTCTTTCTTTCTCCTATAACAGGGCCCTACAGCCCACACAAGGAGGACTAGATCAAACTACAGCACTAATTCTTCTTGTTTCTTCTTTTCTTTAGATCCCATTCTGCCTTTTCAGTACCAGGTTGTCAAGCAGCATCTGGTGAGAGCCATGGTGTGTGCTCTGTAGATGCTGGTATGCAAGGCCTTAGTTATTTCGTCAAAATGTTGAATGTTAAATTAAGAAACGACATCACAGCACTCGGGACACCACCATAAGTGCTCTGTCCATATCTTCAGCAGGAAATAAGAGCGTCAGTTATGATGGCACCAGTAACTGTCTGATTGTATATCCGTCTCTCCTTTCCCCTGAGTGTTGACCATCAACCAAATCCACTTGTAACTCCTCGCAGCGCCATTCTCCCCAGGCTGTAATGATATATCTGTGCCTCCTCACTGTTCAATTGCTCCCAAAGAGCCCTCACAACATCCAGCTTGTCATACATCAGTTCAACATTTTTATTTGAATTGTATCCATCACTTGCATTGTTGACCTCAACCTCTGCTTCCATTGTGTCTAAGTGCCAGGGCTCTCAATGGTGGACTATCTTATGGTAGTCTTGACACATATCAGAAACATTTGTTCTGTTGATTCTTGATGTAGTTTAGCACTGGTTCTGTCCCAACTTATTTCCTGATATCATCATTTCTGATGCTGTTTCTTCTTGTCATATTTAGGATTTGTTGCAAACATTTTATTTTTGTTGTTTCATTTCCTTTCTGTTCCTTTTACTGTTAATGTCCATGTCTGGCACTGGTGGTAATACAATACTGATAAAAAATTTGGTACTGAATAATGCTTTTTTTGGTGTTAATCATTGCAAGTTTGGTCTGCATATTAGTGATAACTTTCCAGTGACCTCGTCCTACTTCCTGTAACCATTATTAAAATGTATGCCTGCCTCTTATAAGAATTATTACTTAGCTCACAGATGCAGATAGTATCGGAGACATAATAAACCCAGTGTTCTTTAAATGGTAGTTAATTCTGAGTTCTACGTGTTGCAGGGGAAATATTCCCAAAGATAGATTACACAAAATTAATACCACAATTATTTTAACATTACACTTGTCCCAAAGGCAGATTACACAATATGAATATCACAAAAATGTAAAAATTACCCTAAACATTTATTAAACTTAACATTGTATACTTATACAATCTGATGCCAACATCTGTGTCTTAGGTGTTGTGAATACATTTCATAATTCTCAAATACCCAGCATGATTAAATAACAAGCAATTTGGCAGAAACCTGCTTTGTGTTGATTTTTACAACAATAAGGAGCATTGACCCTTCAGACAACAATAGCAAACTATTAAATGAAAGACTGCCCAGTGAAACCACAAACAGCCAAGAAATTCTGGGGTTGGTTCTACAGCATCCTGTAAAGGATAAGCAACTCTTTATTTATAACAACCTGTTACAATTAATACATAATCTAAACAATATTAAATAACCAAAGCAACTGACAAGCATGATTATACAATTTAGGAAAAAACAACCTGTATATCCTCTAATTATCACCCAGATGGGTTGAACGGGATATCGTTGATAAAATTAATCTTCTTCTTCTTCTTTACGTCCTCTTTTACTGCTTCGGCTGTCGAGGAAGATATAAGGTCCTGCTTCATCCTTTTCTGGCTGCTTCGACCATAGACACATTGTGATGCTGTAGAGTTTCTCTGATGTTATCTTTCCATATGTTCTTGGTCTACCTCTTGCTCTACATCCCTCTCCTCTTTTGGTGCATGCCTGGTATGGTATAGCATCAGAAGGCATTCTCTCCAAGTGAGCATACCATTTAATTTGCTGTCTTTGTATGAAATTTAGAATTGGTTCTGTACCAACTTTATCTCGTATGACCTCATTCCTGATTTTATTTCTTCTGGTCACTCCTACTGCCTTTCTCAGACACCTCATTTCCATGGTTACTAATTTTCTTTCATATTTTGTTGTGAGTGACCACGTCTGGCACTGGTAGCATAAGGTAAAAAATTAATATGCTTTGTATGAGATGTCTCTTTGTTCTGATTGGGATTACCTTATGCTGTAAGAGGGGGCGCTAGCTGTCCCAATACAATTTCTTCATTTAATTTACCATCTTCAGTCAATGTTGTTCAAAGATATTTAAACTCAGATTAAATTATGACTACTACATAACATACTTCTCTCGAACTTCCTTGTGGACGAGATCAATTGCTTCTCTAACAGCTAGTGGCAATTTCCCAGGTTTGAACACACAGGCACTTGTCTTCAAGTCTGCAGTACAACCAAGCTTCTTGCCGTAATAGTCCTTTATAGTGTCTTCGGTTACAGATGAAGAAACTGAATTCACTTCTGACATTTTCTTGTGCTGAAATTACCAAAAGCTTAAATTAAATGGGGAGGAGCAGATTGCAATCCATTGCTTGATGAGCAGAATAGTTATTATTTTAGTGCATGGTGTTGTTCTCACAGTCTTGTCTGATAATATTAATTCTCACTTTGTCTCGGATGGTCAAGATTAAGGCTTTCCTAAGGCATCTAATTTCACAGGTTTTAATTTTACACACAGCCTTTGATAATGTCAAAGTCTGGCACTGACAGCACTGTGTTGTTATGAATATGCAGTTTATAACCTACTTCTTGGCGCTCATAACTTACGTCTGGATGTCTTAATAACGGCGTCAGCCAGTGTGTGAGTGTAATGACCCTTTGTTTCTATTTCTCTATCTATTCTCCCATCCTTTCAGAATATGCATTCATTCATTATCCTGTTGTACCTTTATATGTCACATAGAGCTCAGAGATTATTGCTCCTTTCCATTCTATTGTTTGCAGTCAGTTCAATATCATGGATGGAATCCAGTCCAGCAGTATTCGTCTCTCTCATCTATGATCGTCTCAACCCTACCAGACCTGAGGCCCTGAACCTAACTGTCCCCTATACCTGAGCTCCTGGGCATTAACGCGAAAAACCAACATGACATATAAAAATATTAGTTACATGCAAAAAAGTGGCTGAAATAAGATAAAACTTGGAGACATTGTAGAAAATAGGCTTATCTTTTATCTAGCGCCAATATTACAACTTTGTGTGCTAATGCACTTAGGAGCATCAGGATTGTTTCACAAAGTGAGCACCAGATATTGCTGTTTGAGGGACACGCCCCCTTCTCTTACTATCGATCGATTTTTAGATTTATAATTTTCAAACTCTCCTCATTATTTGAGCTGAATGTGTCACTTCAACAGTGAACGTATTCTTCATGAAATAATGAATCCGCAGAGTCTGATTAAACCAAAGTATTGATCACCTGTTGGACTGTGAAAAGCCTAGACCTACTTTACTTTCCTGTCGAAGTGATTGGTTCATCAATCGCTCGTTTTATTGTGAATTTTCAGAATTTTATCCAAACACACGAGTGCGGACATCTAGGAAGACTATCCACGAGATCTGATTACGATTGGCTAGTTATTTTTAGTCCGTGGAGCATATTTTTCCTGTACTACGCAAATAGCCTAAAATTAGGGCCAGCGGTATAGCGTCAGGTTAGGAAATTCCCGGAAAATTGGGGCCAGCAGTCTGGTAGGGTGAAGGTTTCTCTTGGGATCTTCACCTCCTTAATCCCTTATATTTCCCATTTGAATGCCTGTTTAGTGATTCTCTGCTGGTTTCTCCTCATGTTTGTCCAATATAGCTACATCTTCTCTGTCTTATAACTGTTGATACTAGTGGCTGCCTAGAGACTTCCATTTTTGCTTCATGCCCTTTGAACTCACTCCACTTTATAGTCATCATTTTCCTCAGGAATAAAAATTACTAAGGCAATATATGAAGGTTCAGAGTGTGCAATGCAAAAACATGATGGTTTGAGTGATTGGTTTACAGCTGAAACTGTGGTGAAACAGGTATGCATTTTATCTCCCCTTTTATTTGGCATAACTATTGACTGGGTTAAGAAGAAACAAATGTTATGTTGGAAACAACTATTTATTGACTAGGAGGAGAACAAACAGTTGGAAGATTTCGATGGTGCTGATGATATTGTTCGGCTAAATAAAAACAGCAATTAAGCATGCAAAGAAAAAAAGATGATTTAGCAAATATAGCATCAAAACTTGGACTAAAAATAATTTATGAAAAGACGAATATATTGAAGACACCAACAACAGATCAAGCAGTAACACTAGAGACAAAATGAATTAAAGTAACAGATCAATTTACTTATTTAGATAATAATGTTGTTAATGAAAGAAACAGAAAGAACTTATGACACATATTCAAGGCATAAGAAGATTTGTCTCTCCTTGCACCTTTGGACGCAAGCTGGATGGCTTAGGTCGGCTTATTGGGAGTTCTCTCCCTTGGCCGCATTGACAACAACGAGCGGAAAAACACGAATCAAACAAGACAGTGAGGTCGACATCAGGGCTGCCAATGCTTGGTTGTGTCCCCCAGATCTGGGTTTATCTCTTGACGCTGCGGGGAAATCTGGGGTTTTTTTTCTTTTTTTTGGGTGTTTTGCCGATCTGTATGCATTAATGACCGATACATTTGCGTGGTTAGGGGTAGGGTTAGGGTTAGCGGTAGGATTAGAGTTTGGGTTAGGGGTAGGGTTGGGGTTACAGTTAGGGTTAGGGGTAGCGTTAGGGGTAGGGTTAGGGTTAGAGGTAGGGTTAGGGTTACAGTTAGGGTTAGGGGTAGGGTTAGGTTTAGCGTTAGATGTGACAATTTTAACGCCGTAGTTCCCTATAATCGCGCACAGTCACATACACACATAAACAGTCGACGGACGGTGGATGATACTGACACGGACAATTCGCCACCGATTGGGCACCAGCCGCGTGCTATTGCTGTCATATTTGGCACACTTCCAGTGGCGCCACTCCCACAAGCATCAGATTGTCGCCCATATTTGGACTTTCTACGTCACCATTTTCACATCTAACCCTACCCCTAACCCTAACCCTAACCCTACCCCTAACACTACCCCTAACCCCAACCCACACCCTACGCAACCCTACACGCAACCGTATGATGGTGATAGACACCCTATGCAGCCCTACACGCAACCGTATGATGATAGGTAACCCTAGACGCAACCGTATGATGACTACGCAACCCTACACGCAACTGTACGCAACCCTACACGCACCCGGATGATGATAGGTGAGTATGTCATTTGATTCGTGACTTTTTCCGCTGGTTGTTGTCAATGCGGCCAAGGGAGAGAACTCCAACTAAGCCGACCTAAGCTGTCCAGCTTGCGTCAAAGGTGCAAGGAGAGCCGAAGATTTTAATAGCCTGAAGAACAAAATATGGAACTCTAAATTGTAGAATTTTAAAACCACGTTACGTATTTTTAATTCTTATGTTATTTCAGTGTTACCATATGCCACTAGCCTGTGGCTTAGTCGATGCGAACGCTTCGTAATGCCACCTTGCGTTGGTTTTGACAGTGGTATCAGGGAGCCGACCGTCCAAAAAGCAATGGCAAACTACTAGACGTAAATTTGCCTAGAGAAACCAAACAAGAGCCAGGGGCTGCAGGGGTTGATTCTGCAACGTCCTGTAAAGGATACGCAACTAACCTTACATATGCCACTACAAGTTGGTGAACCACCAAAAAGACATGTTACGAAAGTGATACTTTCGTCCCATCCCACGTCTTTAAACTAAACCATTTTAATTGTTCTTTAACTTTCACTGCAATTTTAAAACTGAACTAGCATTCAAAATGAAAATACGTAACTTGATTATAAAACTTAGCTTAGAGTTCCACTGCCAATATTATACGCCTTTTAACAAAACCAAATTTTAAGAAACCACCTCAGAACTTACAGTCAGACGTTTACTTGTGCTGAGTTGTCAATCTGTGTGTGTACACACGTCGTCTGCTAGCTTCAGCTTTCTTAGTTCTTCTTTGGGAGAACGTTTCTTCTGGCTACCCTTGCAGACAATGGTGTATATTGCTAACAATCCATAATTTATATACCTGAAGATATGGTGGTTTCACATATTTCCCCTGATTTTGTTGGACCCACATTGTAAAAATGTGAACCATGTTTCACTTATTTATAACGTCTTTATCCGGTTGTGTGTGGTTCACAGCTATGGACAGATAGCAGCCAGTGGCGTTTCCTGCGACCCACCTCTTTATTTCTAAGTAATAAAAGTATCTCGTTTTCAAGGACTCGTTTCACAGCACTGGCACATTGTACGTATTATGCTGGTTTTTTTTTTAACATACAGCACTCCATCTTCTCTTTCGTTCCTCCTGAAATAAGTTGTCTATATCTGCAATTATGTCTCTCGTATAAATTCCTTTTACTGTTTTCGTTTTGAGTCCCTTCATGGTCGTAAAGTTGACACCCTGCTGTTTCTGATTACTTCAAATATATATATATATATATATATATATATATATATATATATATATATATATATATATATATATATATATAGGTTTACATTACTGTGTCACATCCGGAACAGTCTTTGACACACACGTGGTGCTGTTTGGGACAACATTACACATGTGGACATGGTTGACACACCAATCTTACATTTCGAATTGATGTTTTTGCGTAATCGGTTGGGTCTTGTCTTTTTTGTGCAGGGCAATAACTTTTTCTGATATGTTTGTAAGATGGTACTCACCTGGGCACTTGATAGTCACTGGGCACTTTTTGAGTGATCAACATCACGACGGCCTGCTTGAGGGTTGCTCAACCGGCGGTTCGCGGGCCGAATCTTGCACACGGAGATCTAGCAAGTGGCCCGCAGATTATCGCCAACTGTACTGCATTAGAGGCAATTCCAAAAGTCTTGTCCAGTTGTCAGAATCTGTCCTGTTTTTATGGTGCAGAGCAATAACTTGTTCTGATGTGTCCGTAGTATGGTAGTCAGCAGTCACATGTGAACTCCGTGAGCGATCAACATCACGTCGGCCGCCTTTACTGTCTCTAGGACATTTCGTGGTATCCATTTGGGTCCTTCAAACGTTTCTCGCCCCTAACACACCGTTCAATCATGATACGTGACCTTCCACGCACGGTAGTCCAAGTTTCAGGAGAGTCACGTTGTGTTCTCTTCAACGCTGTCACCGGCGATATCCCGTGTTCTACATTACATAATGTGGCTGATTTTAGCGACCCTACAACATCTAAAACTGACCCTAACCCCAACCCCCTACCCCACATCCTCCGTCCACGAGAGAATGCAGACTACGTCCCATGACTGCATACAGCCTATGTCCCACGACTGTATGCAATGTCTCTGGCCGCAGACAACAACGAGCAAAAGACAACGTGTTGCTGGCCGCTCACGAGAGCATTAAAGGCAACACAACCTGACACCTC